TATAAACAATAAGAGATTGTTAAATAAAAAACTGCATTATTGCAATTAAATAAATTACTTATTAATATCTGTGTAAACAAATAGAAATATTAGATTTTCGTTACAGTGCTTACAATAGAAAATTCAATTATTTATTGTTTACTATTGATATTCGAATTTAAAGGTCAACCAATAAAAATATCAAAGTGCAGTGTATTTTGCTTGTAAATAATTTGATATTTCTTCGTGTGTAGAAGGACTTTGCAAATGGTGAAGAAGTTTCGTGTCGACCTCATTCACGTCTCCTACAACAATTTCGTGTCATTCCATAGCATAGCAGAGAGTGTGATACACATACATGTATGCAATAGACACCCAACAGCTTAACAATATTATCATAATAGCTCGCACTTTCCCACATGTACACCAACAATTGCTGTTTCTATATGGGATCCAGACAGGCATTAAGCGATTAAACGCAGAGAAAATTGATAAACGATAAGCTTTACAGGAAAAGATTCGTGGAAGGTTGAAATAATTTCCTGAAATGAATTTATAAGAATTTCGGAATTTAAAAGGCATTCATAAATGTCATCCCTTCACATCCTAGGGGATGATTAGGGGATCTCCGAAATTTGCAAGGGTAAAGGTCTAGATGATGGCCCCCACCTCCTTCGGGGGTGGGGAAGAGGGGGGATCAAAAGAGGAGGTCTCCCCCACCACTGTACCANCGATAAAAGCAAGAACATTATTTAACAAATAATAGCCGGAACTATAGTATAGTGACGTATATTAGGAGAAACCATTCACTAGCCTTTCTTATTAAATGCTAATGGATGTTACTTTCAAAAACCTATTCCCCATATGATTTAAGCATAGTTATACCTTGTAGTGTCACTATGTCTTAAACAAAATTATTTCTCTAGTGGTAAAAATAATAATACGAATTTAGTCGGACAGGTAATAATACAGTTTAATTTCAAAACTAATAGTCAGAATAATAAAATCAAACAATATGCAAAAAGTGTGTTCCCAACGGTGTAGCTAGGTATACCCCAGTAGAACTAAAATACAAATAGCAATGTTTTTTCCGGAACTCCTCTTTACCTATTTAAATATTTACAAACTGCAAAAATAACTGACCTCCGGTTTGCAGTTTATTTCAACGTAGCGATTTAACAAAATCGAATTTGTTGAATAATTTCGTATTCTGAAAATCCACAGCGTACAGATTGACCTTACTTACTACTATTTTTAACATCACAATTTCGTGCTATTATTAAGTGAGACCACCGCAAATTTTTTATGGGGTTTTACTCAGGTGACCACCCTCTTTCGATCCCCCCTACCCTCTTTCGATCCCCTCTACATCTAACCCCCATAACTTTTTATGGGGGTGAGACCGCCACGAACTTTTTCTGATACAGTGGTGGGGGAGACCTCCTCTTTCGATCCCACCCACCCCATCATCTAGACGTTTACCTTTACAGATTTTAGTCGTCAACTTATTCCAAAGTCTCTTATCATCAATTATCCCAGTTCCACAAAATTACATTAGAAACCTATCGTCTATAACTAGAATACAGTCTAGATCTCCAGATGATTGTTTGAAGTGATTAGTCCTAGTATCTGCGAGCAACCAGTAAGCTCTTATTCTTGTTCGATCGGTGAAAATTATAATGTATTAACAACAATAAGTAGAGTGAGACTGCACCTCGTCGATCGGTCAGGTTATTGTCCGTGGCGTGGTATTAAACATGGTATGTATAGTATTCACAGTTAATGCGATATTTACTTGGCCTAACGATAAAAATAACTTACCGCAATGGCACCCCAAGCAGATCACGATCACAGAATGCTAAATGTATTATGTGTATACTCGTATAATGTTCTTTTACGGTGTAACGAAGGCGGTTGACATTGAGACTGACTGCCATCCCACAAGATTACAATCTCATATTATACACCGTAACTTTCTCACGGCAATAGGTAATTGTCATTTTTAAGCGATAAGAAGATCAGGACGTCATCTCGTTTCCTGGGATTCCGATTCTGAATAATCGGAAACATATAAAAGGAATTCGAAATCGTTATTCTTTATGAGATTTCTCGTTATAAAAACATCATCGTCATCAGAAGATCATCAACCCTAAAATTGGTTGAATTTATTTTTTTCTATCCTAAGCTAATCTTCGCATTTCCTACATATCCCACATCCTTAACGATTTGTGAAGAGTAATCTAATCTAAGTCTACCTCTCCTCTTCTTAGCTCCTGTTCCTGCTTCTAACATGTCTCTAACTAGCCCTTTCCTTTTGGCTCCTATAGCGCCCTCTGTTATCCTGCTCTTTCTAATATCTCCTCATTTCTAATTTTCTCTTTCTACGGTATCCTCATCATTCTTCTGTAACATCACATTTCGAACGCTTTTAACCTTTTCTCTTCCGGTGCGCACATGGTTCACGTTAGGGCACTCGTGCAGAGCCGTACATACCTTTAACAATCTTTTTCGAATTCCTAAATTAACCGTTCGCTAGCATAGAGGTGACTTCTTTTTACTAAAGGCGACTCAACCCTGCAGTATCCTCTTTTTTATATCTCTACTGCTCCATCCTTCCTGAGTTATCTGACTTCCTACATACAGAATGTCAGTCACTCCTAATTTTTCATCTCCTGTCTTTATATTCACCATGTACACCACTGTTTTGCAAAAAATTATGTCTATGATTGTCAATAATTTGAGGGGGAGAGAATGTAGTCCGACAAGTCAGGAGTTTCATAAGCAAGTTTCGGGAAGGAAACCCCACTGATTAGAGCACTTTAGTCGTGATAGAAAAAAAATACAAAAACTTTTTACTAATTAAGTATCAAATGGTGTGCGTTTTTTATTTCCACATCGTTATCAAAACACAGCGTAATATTCCGGGAAATTCAATAAATCAAATGGTACCTACTATAATACCCGTAAATTTTATTAATTTATTATTATAATTGCATTATTCTACCTAACGATAAAAGTAAGAACATTATTTAACAAATAATAGCCGGAACTATAGTATAGTGACGTATATTAGGAGAAACCATTCACTAGCCTTTCTTATTAAATGCTAATGGATGTTACTTTCAAAAACCTATTCCCCATATGATTTAAGCATAGTTATACCTTGTAGTGTCACTATGTCTTAAACAAAATTATTTCTCTAGTGGTAAAAATAATAATACGAATTTAGTCGGACAGGTAATAATACAGTTTAATTTCAAAACTAATAGTCAGAATAATAAAATCAAACAATATGCAAAAATTGTGTTCCCAACGGTGTAGCTAGGTATACCCCAGTAGAACTAAAATACAAATAGCAATGTTTTTTCCGGAACTCCTCTTTACCTATTTAAATATTTACAAACTGCAAAAATAACTGACCTCCGGTTTGCAGTTTATTTCAACGTAGCGATTTAACAAAATCGAATTTGTTGAATAATTTCGTATTCTGAAAATCCACAGCGTACAGATTGACCTTACTTACTACTATTTTTAACATCACAATTTCGTGCTATTATTAAAGAAAAACCGTATGATGTTCCTGAATGTGTTGACTTAAATCGAAATATTAATTGATGCACACATAGGTGGACGTGGTCGCGAATAGAAAAATTAAAAATTCGAAGAAGATTATTGAAGTATGGCCCTGTACACGAAATATGAACAGCGAAAAAAAAACCGAAAAGTTGTTGATATACACACAAATGTGTTGTTATGGGAAGGTGTATATAAAAGGTTAAAATTGGGAAGATGTTGGAAAAAACTGAAGAACAGAGGGAGCTACAGAAGTCGCTAAGTAGAAGTTTGGTGGTAACACACTTTGAGAATCTTGAAAGGTTAGTTAGAGGCATATTAGAAGCAAAAACAGGAATTAAGGATGTGCGATGTCCCAGTTTTAGGGAAATGCAAAGAGTAGCTCAGGGTACAAACGAATGGAAGAACGTGTCCAATCATTTTTTGGACTGACGATCCTGTGATAATAATGACTTGATTTTTGAACTTTTTGATTAATGATGGAAAACAAGTAACCAATATTCAAAGATAATCATGCGTTTAGAATATTCAAATCTTCCCTCACAATTAGAATCCAACTATATTTTACCCTCCCTCCGCTTTAATAAATTCCCTGAAGTTTCATCGTTTTCCAGGTGGGCCATCAAACTCTCTCTCACTTTTGATATAACACTCTTGATAGTAATAATTTCCAATATCTCCAAAAAATAATTTAAATAGATACAAGTTTTAGCAGAACTTCCGCATCACGGCTTTTCCGAAAACACAACTTTTTCTTCTTAGAAGTGGATTAAAAGGGCTCCATTATGAAAAACATACATAAAAATATCGGGAGGAATATATTTTAAACAATTTTTTTGTAAATAAGTTATTGTGTATAAGTATGTAACTTTTGCGACTTTGGCAGTAACTGATAGTAAAATTAGGATCATTTTGGAACTATATTCATGGAAGGGGGTAAGAAAGGCCCTCCAAAGGGAAGAAGGGTGAACTTTTATCCAAGACTAACAAACTCGAAAAGATTGCGTACCTTTAAACTATTTATTTTTGCAAAAAAACAATGTTTAAAACACCTTTCCTTCGATGTTTTCATTTAATTTTTTGATAAGTGAGCCATTTTAAGTCATTTCCACGAAAGAAAGTTATATTTTCTAAAACTCCTTGATGCGGAAGTTTTACGCACGATGCAAGAACGTGTCACGTACTAAAAACTTTTATAATTATTTTCAATTTTCAGTCATTAACACTTATAAGTATATATAAATAAACGTATTAATTATAGCGGAACATTTAGGCTAACAATATCATAATCCTTATCTCAAAAGTCTGCCAAGTTCAGTTTTAGGCCACACAATTGTTATCAGCAATCGTTATCAGCAACGTGCAGGTGAATTTCACGCCGTCGATTATAGAAAGAAAACCTAAATTGTATAATTTCCATTTTAATAACGGCCTAAACTTTCACTTACCTATTACCAAACATCTCTCGAGAAACGGAGATTATTGCGGAACCGTCAGTTTTACTTTCGGTTTCGTTTCTGGTACCATCGCCTCATCGCGATCGAGCAATCACTTAAAACTAGATCAAAAATGTTTTAAAACGTTACTTGTCTATGACATATGTTACAAAACGCACTGTAACTTCTAATTGTTTTTATGAAATTCGAGTTTTATCGCAAAAGCAAACGGCAGCACAAACTTGTTCACTCTTAGATTTCGTGATATAAACTAACTTTGTACACTACATAATAATAATGTACGATAATGAAACTTGGTACCCCCGTCGTCTGTTTCTCGCTCGCTCGTTTGTTGCGTTTATTTTTCCACCGCTCACTATGTTATAAATGTTGAATGTCGTGCAATTTGTGTTGCCTAGGTTTCAAAACTATGTCAAGTTGTTAATTATAAACTACTATCTAATGATTCTTCGAAGGACTCGGTACAGAATTACCTACACATAAATTATGTCTTAGCTATCGGTTACTAGATGGTACAATTGGTTAAAAAAAGTCAAACTAGCCAACTAACATAGACGAAATGATATCAAAAATTATTGAATAACTCGGTACAAAAACGAAAATGTATGACTGAAAATAGGTGGACCATACTTCGTCAGATATGATTTAGAAACCAATATAACTTTCAAATGAAGAAGGCCTGTTAGTATGAGTTAGACTGTAGAGTTTCCAGAAGTTTTCAAACATTCATCCTGTGATTCCAATTTTAATAAACCCATGGTTAATCAGAATACCATTGTAGGATGTTGGCTGCGTTTTTTCAAATAGCAATACTTTTCATAATTAAGTTTCAAACACTTTTAGGATTATTTAAAGAACGCTAATAATTTCAGAAATTTGGTAGCCAGTAGAATTAAGTGCTCTACCAAATTGCACAGTTGTATATCAGACAAACTCTAAAAAGGAGCACGAGCAGATGAAATGTGCTCAGTTGCTTCTTTTAATTTTCAAAACTCTATTCACACTTTTAGTACAAACTTTTAGAACAAACAGAATAGCTCAAAAACCCCAACGCCAAAACACGACACTGTAGTTGTCCGAAGCACTTTTCGATAACAAAGTTACCTTCTTCAGGGACTGAAGTAAACAAACTTTTGCTTCTGAAGCTAATGGAACTGTGAATAAACTGACAATAAATTCATATTTCGGCTCATTAAAGGTTCGATACTTAAAGGCTACTTACAAAATTAGGATGAACTAGGGTCTATTACAACTTCATTATCAAAAGTTTGTCNTCTGAACAATATTCCAATCTAGGTCTACCTCTACTCCAGTTAACTTCTGTTCGTAACATGTCTCTAACTAGCTCTTCCTGCCTGGCAAGGTGTCCAACTAATTTGTCTCGCCTACTTCTCATTGACTTCCATAACTAACGCCCCTGTTCTCCTACTCATTCTAAGACCTCCTCATTTCTAATCTCTATCCACGATATCCTCACCATTCGCATATAATACCACATTTATAACTATCCCTAAAGTTGCTCTTTATACAATGTATATATCACTCTTCTATCTCTGCACATCATCCCTTCATTTTTAAGTATATTTAACATTTTTTTACCAATTTAACTTTTTCTTAATCTACGAACCCTATGTACGCGATCTTTCCCTTTTCTGTCGTTTTCTCTGTTCTTCCCTACAAAGGCAAAATGTCCTCCCGCGTTCCTTTATTCCTTCTAAAGCCAAATTGGTCTTCCCCTAATAGTTTTTCCACCCTTTTTTGATCCTTCTTTGTACAGTTCTAGTTGAGATTTTTGACATATGGGAACTAAAGCTAATTGTTCTAAATTTCTCGCACCTATCCGTGACTCTCTTTTTTTTATATGGTTACTTCCACGTCCCGTTTATAGTCCTCTGCGACTTTCCCTACCTCATATATATGACTAACTAGCCTAAATATACGATATGTAACCCCTCGCCCTACGTTTTAAGATTTCCGCCTGTATCTCATCCATACCTGGTGTCTTATTATTCTTTAAACCTTTTAATGCAAAATGAAAAACTTAGCCCACCTATCTCCACACTTATACCTTCCTTCTTTAATACATCTCTCAACTCTAGGTCTTATAAATATTCTTTCCACGTATCTGCCTTTTCTTCCCCATGTAGAAACTACGATCGGGTGAATTTTGGCCCAACAATGGGTAGCCCAACTTTGACTGAACGGTGTTCATCAAGGTTGGACCAAGTTAGACATACAATTAAAGGGTAATTTTCCCTATCCCAGACCAGGACCAAAAATGGCTATATTACCTTCAGCTAATTAATCTTGGGCCAACTTTGGGTCAACTTACATTAATCGGGGACTCGTTTTATATACTTAAATTCAAAATTCCCTGGGCCACTATTGATTTTAATTTTGGCAGAAGATTAAGTGTCACTACATCAACTCTGACACATCTTTGGAATTCATCGTTGGTCCAAGGTTGTATGCCAAGCCAGGTCCGATGTTATCATTCAGTATTTTAACTAGCCCAGACTTATAATTCAAGTTTGTCCCAGAACTCATGGCTAGTAAGCTTACTCTGGCTCACACCTAACCCAATTGTACTTTCCTACATGGGTCGCTTTTTATCAAAATTACTCCTACCTCGTTTCTTTCTTATTACTACTACTGTACCCTATTTATCTAAAATTTCTTTTAATTATAGGATAAGCTTCATGAGTATTATCTGCTACAGGTTTTCAATAAAGGACCCTTCTAAGATCCCAAAGGATTTGAAAAAGTCATGTTAAATGCGTTTCTGTTACGGTGTCATGCTCCTCCACCAAAAGTGTAAATAATATTTTTCCTTGAATTTATTTTTTTACGTTAATTAAAATGTAAGGTGGGCCTGGTATCCCGTTTGGATCCGATACCTGACGTATTCAGAACTCCTTATCTGGGACATCTGTTAATAATATTCCGTTCCTGTTCACTAATATTGTTGATTCGAAATAGTACCTTCAATTTATGTTTTATTGTTGATTAATTATGAACTAAAATCTCTCTTTTGATAATATAAAAATAGGTGAAAGGTCAGAAAAAAATTGATCATATACGTATGTTTTCGAATTATGTTTATTTTAAGCGTGCGGATGTTTTGTCATCGAGAAAATCCGTGACGGAATAATTCCAATTTGTTAACCGCGTGTTGCAGCCATTTCAAACAATTATTATTTACTTATAATGTTTATTAAGAGCATATCTTTTTATCTAAATACTTAAAATAATATTTTGCCTGGTTTATGTGCACAATCCCGGATATTTATGTCTTATTTAATATATTTAGTCGATTCAAAAAGCAAACAATGCTTTATTTTATTAATAGACAAAAAAGTATCGATCAAAAACAATAATATTAGTTTTATTATCTATTCTTCTTAATAAAAAAATATCTACTTACGCATGTATATTAATGGGATTCTCTTCGGGGAACGTTAATTTTTTCCTAAACAGGGGGATGCATCAAAAAGTGGACAATTATAAGAATTTTTTCATTTTTTTTTTTTAATTGCATTATTTAACATATTAAGTAGTAATTTAGTCTCTGCTGAAGAATTTTAAAAATCTTCAACTTATAATTCTCTTTATAACTAGAAAAAGTGGATTTTCTCCAATTTACGGTTATAAATATTTTTTTCATTATCAATTGGCTAAACATGCGATCTCTAGCGTCTTCTTCCAAAAATCCTAGTAGAATTTGTAATATATTGAGATAAACCAAAGATTAATACAATAACCGTTAATAAATTAAATTTAAATATACTATTTGTTAATAAAAAAGAATACAGATATATTAGAAAAAAAAGCACAGTATATGTGTGTATTAATAATAAACTTCACAAATTCTAAAACCATCTACATTGGTCAAACGAGTAGAGCTTTTAAATTCAAGTTAAATGAACATAAAAAAATTAATTACACAAAATGGTGTTGTGGGGGGGGGCAATGTCAATAACCCTTAGTAACAACTACAAGTGACCGACTAGAAACTTTAAAAAAATAGAAACAATAAGTACTTCTGTGATCCTGTACAAGCTATCATTGGCATAAGGTACAATTGTTTAATTAATAAAAAAAACTGTTAAAATCTAAATTTATTAGGTAAAAAATCACAAGATAAACATAACTTTTTATTAAACATTGTTCTCATTCTCTTGGTACACACAATACTTTTTTAATTATTATTTTTATAGCATAATTATCTAATATTCGTAAATAGTAATAATACTACCAAGAAATGTGCACTACATACTCTACATGCATACATTCATACATACATACATAATAATTAACAGAAAAAATTAAATATCTTTGGAAGACACACGTTTACAATTTGATTTCTCATTTGTATAAAATAATGCATGCTCTGTATCTGTATAACTGAATCAATTTCGAATATTTGCAAAGATGCATTCGCAGTATTAAATTGACCTTGGAACTAACACGTTTTATCACTCGTATAAATACAACACTTGAAATGGAACATTATGTGCTTAAAATAATAAATACATAAATAGGTGTAACAAAACCAATAATAATTTGTTGTTTAATTGTGGATATTAATCATTATTTAAGTAAAACTCCCAGAAAAAGAAACAAAACATACTTTTCTAGGAAAGAGAAGGGAAGAAAATGAGGCATTCGTCCCGGAAGGGGTGCTGTATTATCTTCCCGAGGTCTAAATACGCATTGTTACTACTATACCACTTTCGGTAGGGATATGGTAAAAAATTTTCTTCGCAAATCCAACAGACAAAAAAGTAATATCTTTCAATTTATGAATTGTTTTTGAAAGGTCATACATCAGCCATATCATATCTTTTATCATTAATTGCTTAATTTAAAAATTACACAATTTCTTAATAGGAGATTCACACAAATATATCGTAATTAACATCGTCTTAGAATTCTAAAGCATTCACTGAACCAGTGGCGTAAATAGGGGGAGGGGGCGACCTCCACGGACGTAGTAATGAGCAAAAATAGTCTTGATCTTGCAGATTTATCCTTTTTTAATGTTGCACATTTAGCAAGAAGAAGACTGAAAGTTATACTTGGATGACTAAATGCATGACTAAATGAACAAGACGAAGGCCGAGAGCAAGACTTATTTACCACGATTCTCGCAATAGGGTTACGAACGAAGTATACACCATTTTAATTTTTCTAAACTGTTACAAGTTTTACTAAAACATGAAGCGATCTCGCAAGAACAAGACCAAAGTCACTACGTGCTATTGAAAAGTAAGACCAAAGCCAAAACTAAATGTGCTAGGCTAAGACCAAAACTAAATGTGCTAGATCAAGGTCAAGACTCAATGTGATTGGCCACGGTCAAAATTAAATGTGCTAGGTCAAGACAAAGATTACAAGTGTTAGGTCAAGACCAAGACTAATTGTACTCGACCAAGACCACAAATAAATATGCTAGGCAAAGGCCAAGACTACATATGTTAGGCCGAGACCAAGACTAAATGTACTAGGTCATGACCAAGACTACATGTGTTAGGCCAAGACCAAGACTACATATGTTAGGTCAAGATCAAGACTACATGTGTTAGGCCAGGCCAAGATCAAGACTGTATGTGTTAGGCCAAGACCAAGATCAAGACTACATGTGTTAGGCCAAGACCAAGACTATATGTACTGCGTCATGACCAAGACTACACGTGTTAGGCCAAGACCAAGACTACATATGTGAGGCCAAAATCAAGACTACATGTGTTAGGCCAGGCCAAGATCAAGACTACATGTGTTAGGCCAAGACCAAGATCAATACTACATGTGTTAGGCCAAGACCAAGACTATATGTACTAGGTCAAAACCAAGACCTCGACTGTGTTAGTCTTGTCATAGTCTTACGTTTGCTCATCACCACAGTTAAGAGTGACACAATTGGTTTAATTTTTACCACTTTAAATATATTTTTTGGCACGAGAATGAGACGGCACCTTGAGGCTTCGCCCACTGACGCTAGCTAATATACACCACGGTTTTAATTTTTTATTAATTCAAGTTTCTCATAATACATCTCGAAGTTCATTCTTAATCTTAAAATTACTAAAAATAAGTAGAGTTATTAGCCATTATCAATACAAGTCATGTTTTTTCTGAAACCTATTTTAAAACGATTAACTCCCTAAATCCCACCGATTTTATAGAAAAATAAGCTTAGTGTCAAGCCAGGTTGTTATCAGAAAATCTGCGCGTAATATTCGACAAACATAACTTATCTTTTTTTCTGCGTTGCATGGGTTATCTAAACTATTTTTAAAGCGACAAAATTTCATCACGACTCATTATTATTGCTAGTTTCTTCCAGCACCTTTTTTAGCCACGTTTCGGGGTTGTAACTGGGTTGTTCGCCCCCGAATTCCGCCGGTAAAATATCCCTATGAACATGGTCATGTAAAGTGCTAAGATTATTTCCATGTACAAAAATTCTATCCTTTGATTTATCTTTGAGAAAGGGTTTAATAAAGGTGAGAGCTGCTTCCACATACCACGGCTGACCGAGGAAATGCACCCCCTTGAATTTGGCCGGAAAACAGTCTTGCAATCCCTCAATCATCAACTTTAGTACACTGGGCTTAAGGTTCGTACTTTGCCTGAAAGAGAATTCTGTCCAATCAACTATCACAACGAAACCGATTGCTTGATTGTGAACGTCGTTTATCAAATGTTCTAACGTGAATAAGAGAGACCTATAAACACTTAACAGGGAATAGGAACAATCCCAATTAACTCCCGTTAAAATTAAGACGCATCTTCCTTTTCGATCTTTGGTTGGCAGAACACCTGGCAGACCGTTTTCCAAAGCTTTCCTTATATCTGGAGCGTCGATGGAGAAATCCTTAAAAATTTGACTGTTTCGTTTCCTATACCAATAATAATTTTGTATAAGCTGATAGGCCTCGTCTATGTCGAATTTTCTGGCGTAGAGGAACTTGAGGAGTGTCGTGTCGTCTTGCTGGACATTATTTTTGAACTCGCTGTCCGTAGACTGATATATTAACCCTCTTAATGCCTGGATGCTAATGTGTTTGTCTTCAGGATTCTTCTGGGATTTTGGGATCGTTATCAAATCTTTCGTAATGAAATTGGTCCTCCAGTCGTACTCTAAAAATTCAGCCATTGTTGTTGTTCTCGTTGAAGCGAACCTGTTGTTGTTGTAATAATAATTATTTATTTGTTGACGTATGTATGTTTTATTCCTTGTTCCGGGTTGCGTTGCTCATGCTAAACAGGGTACCGGTGACCTTGTAGCGTGCTGGACGTTTTCATAAAGGCGACAGACAATAATAATTGTATCTTTATTTTGACCTTGAGAGTGGTATTCCAGAAGATAATTGCGATAACCAGTTAGTTAGTTAAGTCTGCTGCTGCACTTGTTGTCCACTTATGAGTACGCTGTTGTTGTCATGTTCCTGAAAATAAACAAATTAACTAATTAGTTTTGAAGCTCGATTGTGACTAATATATCAATCAGTAACGCCAAGCAAGTAAAAAAGTACGTTTTTAAGGAGTGGGTGGGTACATAATTTTATGTTATCGCAAAACAACACTTTTGATAAGAATATCATTGGAAAAAGATTTTTTTATTGTTTTTATTCTAAGGAACAGTCTACGGGGTTAGTATTTTTTTTTAACATAAAACACTGATACATTTAGTTTTTGTGCAAAAAATCAGAGAGCATATTTATCGAACAAATTGTAAATGTCGACTTGGGTCAAATTAGGAAGGCGAAGTCTGCAGTAAATTGTCGTATAAAAACAAAGATGTTTACAAACTACAACTGTTTTTATTACCCTTTCAGCAGCGTCTAAAAATAAGTAGACAAATGAAATAAATGGCATATCGCTTTTTAGTCTAATAAAATAGCTTTATTTCAATCCAGTATTTTACTACAGACATCGCCTTCTTAAACAGACCCGTCTAAAGCCGCTTTATGATACTGGCATTCGAACAATACTCAGCGACATTCAATTGTAGAAATATATACATATATGTCTAATATGATTCAAGTACGAGATTACCTAACCTCACTTTGTTAATTTGACAGCCACTACTCGTCGTTCTAAAAGTATTGACGCCGACAACAGAAGCATACTTGATTAGGTGGCAATAAACACAACATTTTCAAATGTCGTTAATTTTTATAGCATCAAAATCAAGACGGTTATGATATAATTGAAGCGATTGCTTCCGGCCATTTAAAATTAACTTTCCAGGCAACATAAAATCTAAAATTGCGCATAATTTAGTGAAACAAATTACCTAGATACCGTGGATTTTATATTTATTTTTTAAGAAGCTGGAATTTCTGGCAATTATCTTTGGTATAAAGAACGTTCATCATTAGTATGAATAATATCATAATATCAAATGGTTCGAAGCGAAATTGAATAAAAAAAGCGCCTAATTTGTTTCTTTCAAAATTTACCTCACGCTGCCAAGGAGTTAATGATGGTTTGATTGCGAAAACAAGATTCGACCTATAGTAAATAGATTGTTGAAATAAGAGTCAAACTTTCACAAACTTTTCTACATTTAATATTTTACAATTAATCGTACAGATAACGAATAACATATTTTTAATTACAATTAGGCGAATTTTTAATTAATAAAGAGGTCTAGATTAGCGACCGTGATTTTGAGTAGCTGCCTAAATATCAATAAATCAATAATAAAAAAAAAAATTCTTTCCAGACTTTTCCGTTTACATACGTTAGTTAATTACGATCTTGAATTTATCATTTGTTTAACTGATTGCCTGTTGTAATAATACATTTAAGGTAATAATTTTTAAAGGAGACCAAGGAGATAGCAACGTATTTGTTCCAAGAACGTTTTAGAATTATATGTAATTATCTAATTCATCGTGGAGGTGAAGTTAACATATATGTAGTATGTTATTTATAACTTCATCCTAAAAATTTTAATGTTAAATCTTCAGTTTCTTTACATAAATTTCATCATCACCACAGGTTCGTCACTCCTTCGTATACTAAACCAATATTCGTATTACCCGAAAGCTAGAATATCCCTAACCGACAATGATCTCATTATTTATGATAATTATACATTGGTTCAATGATTCTGTGACCTACGTAGTTAGGTACCTGTTGTCGTTGTTGGTAGAGCAATGGTGCTTAAAACCAGGAACCCGGGTTCCATTCCCGACGAGAGCGTAACAGTAGCAACAATTTTTAATTTATATTTTTGTATTGAAATTAGCCCTACAAAAATTCTTCTAATTGTCTTTACTCCTGTGTGGCCTTCCAATATTTGTATATGTCTCACAAGTACTTCTCTTAGAAAATCCAGGATTCTATCCCTTCTTCACTTTTTCGACTTCCTTAGCTTCCTCTATTCTCATAATTTTTCTTATATCTTTTCTCTTTACTTGTAGAGTACAGTATTAGGTACTAGAAGCCACCATTACAAACATATTTATTTACGAAGGCAATCCCAAAAGTAATAAAATCTTCAAAAAGCACTGGGACTGCTGGGGAATTTTTGGTACGGCTATTGCCCACAGTGCATGTATGGTGTTTACCCCAGAAGTCATCGTTTAGCATGCTATTCGTAATGAAGCTCCAGCTTGATGGTTCCGTTTGATGTAATATTCGCGAAATTACTCGGTTTTTGATATAAATTAATCTCCACTAAACTCATCCATGGATGCAAAAAACTTGGGAGACATTAAAATGTGGAAATATCGGAAACTATACGTAAACCACCACCGATAACGCGTTGACTTCCAACAAATTTCTTTAGGTGAAAAGAACAACTTCTTGGGTTCAATGTTTTCAACATCCATGTGGTTCAGTTTTCAACATCCGTATGTTTCAGTCAACTGTTGATAAGTTTTATTAGGTTTTGCTTTTTGCGTTCAAAACCGAATAATTTCGCAAACTTCACACCTTAGGCAGTTAGATACAGGAGCTTCATTTCTAACAACTGCTAAGCGATGGTTTGTTTGAAGGAGGGTTAAACAGTAGACATGGCAGTGTTGGCAACAGTCGCGCCAAAAATTCACTGCCACCCCAGCGCTTTGGAGATCTTCTTTTTGGAATTGCCCTCGTATGTTCAAAAAATGATGTAACATTTCCATTAATTTGCAATTTCATTAGCCATTATTATTACACATGCATAACTGCACATACGTATGTATCTAGTTTAATAATGTTACTTCGGACCTCATGAATAAACAATACAGCCATTTCTAATTCTTTTACATATAGTTATGCTCAGAACCTATGTTTATTATTATTATTATTATTATTATACATATATTTGCACATGCGGAAATGTATTAAGTGGTTTAAATAAAGTTGTGTTTAACGATATGTTGCATTATCTCAGAAGAATTAAGGTGCCCATGATTATGAATTATGATTCCACACTGCTTTAATAATTGACGGAGGAATTATAAGATTAAGGAAGGAAGTCAGGTGTCAAAAAGATAAATCATTGACGCCTAAGATTTTACACATTTCAGTTGTTTTTATCTTAAACAAATCGTTTTTCAAATAACAACAAAATATGTAACACCTATATTTACGCGTTGTCTGTTATCTTGATAAATTGTTCGTAATTTTAATTCAATCTCCAATTCTTCAAAAGTAATTCCCTAAAGATCTTTGGAAATATTGGAGAAAAAATAGAACCCAATTTGAAGCAAAGTTAAAGAGGGATGCTTTTGAGACAAACGTTATAGACAAATAAACAACAACAACCTATAATCAATTATTTTCATGTAGCAAAATCATTATAATATCATATATTAAAATGCTGGCTCATCCCCGCGACTTGGCCCTCACGATTTAGCTACTATATTTCACACAGAACTGCTTAGCATCGAGTCGTTGGTGGCTCGGGCAAATAACGCGCGGCAGACGCTTAATTTACGATGAGGGAGAAGTAGAAATATCCTCATTTTCCGTTGCCCCCTTTTCTCGGTGACTATAGAACACAATACGCAAGGCCGTCCTTGATTATTAAATAATAACTTCTATTTGAGATAAAGGTCAACCGTCTAAGACATAACACTAAAAAAATCACAATATTTACTCTAATTTTTTTACCTGTTTGCCTGACCTATGATGAGTGTGAAAGTTGTCAATGCTGTTTCTTTTTAGTTTCTGTATATAGAAATAATAATTAATGCTACAATTTCTTAAAGAAAAATATATCCGATACGTCATGATTCATAAAGAACAATAGGAGATAAAAAGGGAAAGGAAAATGAAAAGCATTAGTCATAAATAATTCAACATTTTCCGAAGGTTTTTTATCTCGTCATCTACATGAAAAGTGAAAACAAAAGGAAACGAATGACTCATTTCAATCTACAATAATTAAGATATTTCTTATGGCATTCGCGAATACTTATTATTATAATACACCAAATCATTAGGAGGGCCAATATTATTCTATAATTAAAAATGCAGGTAACAAAACTTAATTGAAGTGTGTAACGTGTTAAAAATCAACAAGGGCTTATTGTTCTTTCTTCATGGTACCATTTAATTGTTTCACCACGACTCTGAACAACCTATTCAAATACTCTTAATTTGACAAAAGGTATTGTTTTAATGAACACAATACCCCTACTTTTTGTACATTAATTTATTAATACAATGTGAATTTTTATTCACACCACTTTCGACAATAGGAAAATCTTTGACGTTCGTAACTAGAGCTAGAGCGGTTGCAGATAGAATGCCCACTTTGCCTCACGGCAGACGTTGTAAGGAATATCGTAAGCATAAAAAAGAGATGTCAGGGAGGAATTGCAGCGAGCCCAATAAAAACAGGAATAACATTACACCAATTGATCTGCAACAGAAAGAGATGCGGACAAACAGAATTTGAGCAAAAAAAAAACTTTTGGGTGTTTCATTCCCACCAGCCAGTAATGCTGGTGGGCGGGCAGTCCCTCCGGACTACGCCGGAGGGTAGGGCAGAAGGTCCTCTTCAGCCTGCTTTCAGGAATCGTGGAAATGGGTGAGTGGTAGTTCGGGTGAGAAAGATGAGACAGACGAAATGAAGACAGAAGAGAATGAAAGATTATCTGTGGAATATTACTGCCCCAGCATTTGCGTAAGTGATCCGAGGAAACCACAGAAAAACTTGGACCAAGGCAGACGGACCCGGAATCGAACTGGCGTCCTCCCGAATGCTAAGCAATGGTCTAAATTTGGGCATGTTAGCAGCATCGGACTTTAAACAAAGTTCAACATTGTTAGGAATTTAGAAAAGCAAAGACGTTTGTTTAATGATATAATTCCAACCATGAAACATTTCCTAAATTAACAAGAGCGTGTTGAAAACGCAGCAAATGACTACAGTCCTAAGTGGAAACAAGAAAAAAAAATACGTCTATTCCCACAGATAAATTATTGTAGATTATGCCGACTT